AATTTGTTAAAACATGTGTGAAGATCATAGGAGATTAAAGATGTTGTAAATGATCTTTCAAAATTGTCTTCTACAGGTTTGATCACCGTATGCTCGGCTCTTACAGCTGTGCAAGGTACCATAGTCTGCCCTGTACATTGGGTCTGACTGTCATTAACATAGCCTTCTACATACTTCTGGTTTACATGTTTGCTAGCATGTAACCTTTTCCTCTAAAATAGATCCCAACAGCCTGGTTAGTTTCATTTGGCCCTTTTTCAAAGACTGGCTCCATATCTAGTTTTATATGTTCTAACTTTATTTCATAGGTCTAGTCTTTACAATAGCACCATTGAAGATTCAGATTATCTCTCTACTTGGGTCTTCCAAGTAAAATTCCATCTTTCTACTTGATTCCCATGATTTATATAACTTAAGGACTTATTTTGGGTTCACACTACTTGGTACTTATTTGTGTTTTTTTTATACAATATTGCATAAATGTCTAAATCTCTAATCATGGTAATATAATCTATGAATTTTATTTTTTATTTTTTTTAAATATTAATAGTAAGACCATGCCTCTATGAATATTTTTAAAAGTATTAATAAGATAAACTAAATAATAAAGATATACAAAAGAATATATAATCAACTAAGTTGCCAAATTCTGTTAAAAAATATATATATATATATATATATTATACTGGGTTATTTAAATTAGTAGTTTAAAGAATCAAAAAAAACTTAATAGAGAAAAATAAAAAAGATGTCAAAAAGATGAATATCAAAGTTCTAATAATATTTATAAAAGTAAAAAAAATGTAATATAATAGTTAAACAAATAACTTCTATAATTGCAAATGCTAGGTAACTATAACATGTATATAAAACCAAATTAGCTATATATAAAATATAATAAATTTTAATAAGTTTTTTGTTAAGAATAAAATAATCCTAAAAGTATTAATAAGAATTAAAAATTATATTCTTGTGTTACAAGATAGATTAGATATGCAGTAGGTTTAAATAGGTAAAACCTATAGTTAACTTGCAAATATGATATTTAGTATAGAACTTATATAGTAATATATAAGCAAACTACTTAAATTAGATATCAAAAATGCATATATAACTAGTTGTAACCTTTTATATAAAGAAGCTCTTAAAAGCATCTGTGTTTTATAAACTTGAATAAAAATCTTTTTTTCAAAAGCAAGGACTTAAACTTAAAAAAAAAAAGAATACCAAAATAAATATAATACTAAAATAAACAGAATGCTAAAACATATAAAATACTAAACCAAATAAGTTATTAAACCAAATAAAATGCTAAACAAATAAAATATAGAATAAATAAGATGTTAAAATAAATAAAATAACTAAAATTGATAAAACTTTGTAATTATTTTAGTATTATATAATTGCTGTAATGTTTAACTGAAAAAGCTTACTAATAATCAATCTTGTTTTATATATATATATTTTTTTTTCGGTATTAAAGTGACCTCTTTGGTTTTTTGACTTTATTAATACTTTTGTCGAGTATTTTGATGAGTGTACAACTGGCCACATATGTAATTTTTCTATATTACCTATTTAAGAGGTCTGCCCAAAGGTTTCCTACTAGTTGCCGTACCTAACACCTCTGCTTAAGTGTTTCATTTAAACCCTCTAATCCAAAACCCTTGTACCAACTTTATTAGGTCAAGCCCAGATCCTCGTCTCAACCTTAGGACTATTTTATCCTCAAGATAAACCTACCAGAGCCTCTGTGTCCCACATACAGCTAATCTGGATTTCATGTAATATGCTATAGTTACCTAACACTTGCAGTCAAGGCTAACCTTAAACCACTATATTACACTATTTTTTACTCTTGAAAGTTCACCCAAATCCTGATACCTATCTTTCTGACTTCTTCTCTTCATCCTTATACTATCCAACTCAGAATCCGACAGACTCCTCAGACTCCCAATCCAGATAGTCTGGTATGGTATACCTTTTGGTATCCTTTTCCTCTGACAATTCCAACAACCTGGTTGATCATGTGCTCCTCTACACATCTTTCCATCCGGTTGCATGTCTGCCTATTCCTTATTGGGGTTTTCTGGGCTTCCATCAGTCTGACAGCACCATCGAAGATTTGTGCTATCTCTTTCTTAGGATTTTCAAGTGGGATTTCGTCTCCTTGGTTTCTTGGTTTTCTACATCTGGTGATCTTATCATGGGTTTGCACCGAAATCTTATGCAATCCTGATTTTAACATTCCTCTATGTATGTGTAATGTTACACTTCGCATAGATGCCCTGGGCTCCCAATGACAAGTAGAACCCGATTGGTTGTACCCAAGATTACAGATACCTAAATCCAACCAATCAAAAGAAGACAGTTTAGCCGTAACACAGGTTAATTTCCAAATTTCGTCATAGGTAAGATTTGAACCTTAGACCTGTCACTTGAAGGATGACAACCCAACCACTACACTAGGATCACCATCCTCCATCTTGTTTTATATATATGACATCTACATACACAAACCAAATACAGCATTACTTCTAATGTTTATTTTTACATTAAAAAAAAACAATTACAAATATTTATTATTTCAGTTTTGTTAAAAAAAGAATTGTCAAAGTAATATAAAACTACTTTTGTTCAACACAACAATTATACGTACTTTAAAATAAATGTGCACTTTATATTAGCTTTGGTTTGTAAAAGACTTAATGCTTTATCTATTTTTCTTTTATATGCGTATGTTTTATTATGTCATATAAGTACATTACTTACTACAACTTACTTAAGTTATACATAGTATTATTTGTATTACTTAGACTACATATAACTATAAGCTACAAGTATAAATATATCGCTACCAGTTATATAACTTGTTACATCTAAAATTGATATATATAATTAATTTTTTACTAAAGATAAAAACCAGAAAAATATTAATTTAACAAAAATATATATCAATTTGATCAAAAATATCAATTTATACTAATTTTGAAATATTGTTTGGTTAAATTTATATTATCTGACCAGAATTATGCTCTATACTATTTGATTACATTGCAACAAAATTTGCAAAAATATTGATTTGCCTACATTTTTACTTAATAATCAGGTCCATGACTAAAGGTTCTAAAAGCTTTGAATTTCAAAGAAAACATTGATTTATAAGGCCACACAAATTTAATATATTGATTTTCATAACTTGAAACTTTCAACAAATCCGGACGGCCGGCTTTTTTTAAAATTTCAGATATATAAATTTTTTTAAACCAATCCGACTATTAAAACATACTTTTTTACAAGTATTCAAATTTTATGAAAAACAATTACCGGTAATTAATTTTACATGGCCTTAATTTTAAATAAAAATAACATTGTTTTAATAATTTATAGCATTGATTTAACAAATTTGGTTGATTTGAATTTTACATTATTGATTGAAAGTGGGCATATATTTAGATTTTTGTTATTATTCAAAATGAAATGGAAATGTTGATTTCCAAACCCAAATATCATCATTATTATAGATTTAGCCTTAAAAAAGAATGCTAGTAAATGCTTTTTGGAAGAATACTTGTTTAAAACTTTATAAGATTACTTCCAAGAAAAACAAAAGTATTAACAACGACCATAATTCAAAAAAAGAAAGAAATTTGTGTCACAACCCTAATCCTGCACTTCATTGTCCTCTATTGTAGCGTTGTCATCATCGTCGTCATCATCATCTTCGTCGACAGCTCCATCATCGTCGACAACTCCATCACTTTCTTCAATAACGCCTTCATCTTCGTATTCATCCAGTGATATACGAGAATGTTTTTCGTGCAATGATCCTTCCTCGTCGTCGTCATCATCGTCTTCGTCGTCACCACGTTTCCTTTTCCCTATGAAAACATCCTCTACATCCTCCACAATCTCACCATCATCCAGTATTGGGATATCATCACATTCATCATCCTGTTCTTGTTGAAAATTCGTATAATCATCTTCATCACTTGCTACTATATCCACATCACCCATATTTTCATCTTCAATACTTTCATCATCATCTTCAACAACTTCTCCCATTTCCTCGATGCTACCCTCTTCATCAACTTCACCTGCTTCTCCAACTACTGCTCCTTCTTCAGGTATAGTTTCTTGTGTAACCTTTTCACTTCCACTTGACGAACCATCTTGCCGTGATGGTGTATTGGAATGATCTTGATACTCTTGTAACACCGGAGTTCCATTATCGTTCACGGCCAACGTTGAATCTCCGTTAATAGGACGAGGTGAATTCACTTCATTACCATTAGTTTGTGGCGGATCTCGTATGTTATTCACCGTGTCAACAACTTCATGCGTAACAGTATCATCAGCTCCATTTACTTGTATATCAGGAATTGGTGAACCTATTGGAGATGCAAATTCACTTCTGATAGATTCGGGCGTTGCATCAGGCTCTTCGTCTTCCCCAAGAATATGACGGTTTTGTTCTTGTTCAATTTGTATTTGAGATTGTACGTCTTGTATAACTGATAATACTCGTTCTAATTGGGCCCTACGATGACTCAATGTTTCATCAAATAACCGTTCTTTTTCTTCAATCAATAACGTTTCTTCGTCCAATTTTGTAATTTCACTGAATAAATGTTATGATGCTTTTATTTTATAAATCAAGAAAAATTTGAAGGTTTTTTATGAATTCAAAAAAAAAAAAAATCAGTTACTTTATAGATTCTTCTCGCGATTGAAGTTCATTAATTTCTGATGCCAATTGGTCATATTCAATCTTGTTCCTGCGTATCTCTTCTTCCGCTTCAAGCTCCGCCTCCAATTTTTCAATAATTCTTTTAGTCTCTTCGATTTGCTTTTCTGTGCCATAAACAAAATACAATATGAAGTAAATTAATAATTTCATATGATTATAAAAGTTATTTAGGATTTTACGTTTTTTATAAGTTGGATTAGATTGTTTCATACCAATATTCAAAGCTTCTTCTTCCCAATGTCGTGTCTCACGGAGATTCATATCATGAATGACTTGAAATCGTATAAGACCAATTTCATAAGATGAAAAATCGACTATAAAGTCATTAAATTGTACACGACTTTCCGTAAGCAAACAAGGATGTTTATAATTTAGAAAGGTGTGTTTTACGTTGAACATATCAAAAAAGTTTACCACTCAACGTTGTACTTTATCATACATACGCTTCTTTGAGATTACCCAGTTCTAACGAATTGAGGAATACACCAATTTTTCGAGTTACACGTCGAAGATTACGCTCGTCAACGGTAAGTCTGTCGCGAATTATCTGTTCTACATATGTATAGGAATATGAAGAGTTCATTCAGATCGTTTCGTTGATCATAGTAGATCAGGTCCTAAAGATATGTTTTACTGCTTTGTTTTACATTCTCGTACCTTCGTCAGCCATTTTAATCCTTGCGTTTAAAATTGAATATGGAGTTTTGTTAAAGAAGTTATCACTGTATTAAAGCCTTTTTCGTGATTATTGTACGTATCAGTACGTATTGTATATCATTAATCATTTTTAATTATATAACAATCCGTTTTTTTTTGCAACCAGAATTATGGATTGGTGGCTCGCATTATTGCATAGGAAATTTTTTTTTTTAGTCATCCGATCAGAATAAGAAATAGCCTTTAACGTTAACTAAATTCAATAGAAGTTACATTCGTTTACATTAATAATGGCCCTTTATCTTTCTCCAGAATGTTTGCAATATATTCTTACATATCTTGAAGATGATAATCATACTCTTCATTCATGCCTTCTCGTGAACCGTTTTTGGTGTCATAATACTGTCAAAATTCTTTGGAGCCAACCTTGGCGCTCGTATGATATTACTCAGGCGTCGGCAACTTCCGCTACAAAATTGATTCAAACCTATGTTAACTGTCTTTCGGATAAAGTTGTTCTGCTTAAAAATGGGATCAACTATCAAGTTTCTTCGACTCCTCAAGCATATGATTACGCTTCGTTTTTACGTGCTCTTGACTACGATGGAATGTATTGGTCAATTTCCCAATGGCTAGATTCTTGTTGGCTCTATCGAATGTTGAATTATGAGGAAGAATTAAAGTCTGATACAGAAAGTAAATTGTCATTAGATGATATGAGTAGCGAGAATTATTGTGAATATTTTGATGAGTCTGAAGAGAAAGAGAGAAAAACCAATATTATAGCTAAAGAACTTTGTAATTTATTCATGAGTCGATGTACAACATTTCATAGTCTCCGTTTAGAAACGAAAGCTATTCAAAGTAATTTTCCATTCTTACCTTCGTGCAACGATCCTTGTAATTACCTGTCTAATCTTCGTCAGCTTATTTGTCTCGCGGAATATAAATCTGAACTTCTTATTGCAATATCACGAATATGCAAAGATTTACAAAGGATTTGTGCTGGATTTCCACTTTCTGTTCTATGGAAATCCCATTATGAAACGGATGCTCAAAACTTGGTAACTCGTGCCGAAGCTCAAAGTTTAGTAACTCTTGTCGAAGCTCAGAACCGTTTACAAAGCGTTTGTCTTTTCGGATACAAGCGGTTCGTGTCAGTCATAGTGGATGCTCTCAAAAGACATGCTGACTCTCTGACTTCTTTAGAATTAATGTATACCGACTTTCGAGACAATAACGATTTTTCAAGTTTAAAGACATTGTCTTTATGCAAAAGTTTAAAATCATTAAAAATTCATAATTGTTTTATCCCACCTAATGAAGAATTAATGCCATTAGCTTCATTTTCAAAATTGGAAGAGTTTTATTTTTGTAACGAATGGAATCCCCTTTATCCACTTCCACAACACGAATTTTGGGAAATAATGTTTCACAACACAAAAAACTCTTTACGAAAAATGTCTCTTTTGTGGTTACGGTCAGACCCAAAAGATGGATGTCAGATAATTGATCCAATAGCAAAACAATGTTCAAATATAAACATTCTTCATTTGCCCGTTTTATGGATAAACGAAGTTTTAATTATATTAAATTATTGTACACAACTTAAAGTATTTTCATTTAGTGGGGATGATTTTGATGCGAACGAATCATTAACACAAATGGGAAAATTGGTTCCAGTAACTCTACAGTCTTTGACCATAAAAGATGGGCATATGGGAGGTTGGACTTTCACGGAAAAATCTCTCGATTGCTTTTTGAAAAATTGTAATGCCTCGTTGGAGATAATGGATTTGACATTTTGTAGTTGTGCAACTGATAGACATTACGAGGTATTAAGTCAACATAGGATAATTACAGGTCTAGTATAAAGGTCTTTATGTAATCTTTTAATACTTGTATAAATTTTTGTTTTTTTTTTTAATCTTAATTTCGTATAAGAAATGCGATATAGAATGTTTTATAGAAGTGAAAATATTAGAAATAATAGTTTTATTGTATATATGTTTCATCCAAATGTACTATAGAATCTTATATATATTAAATTTTGATTATTTGGAATTCATGTGCGATATCAAATATTTGAATTTAATCAATAGTTTGTGGTAAGATATATAGCGACATATAGAAAACGAAATTATTTGAAGCTGTAGCTTGAATTGTAATCAAGCTATCATTTAGAGTTTGGATTTGAGTCATAGCTTGGCTTAAAGCCATGACTCGTACAGTGTGAATAACCTAGTCTCAACAAATAAAAATCTTTAAAGGTCAAACTTAGATTTTATTTTTTATACATATTGTGGTTTATTTGAATTAATTTGAATATTTTAATTATATATTGTAATATGGGTTTTTGCTTTGAAAATAACTTTATCAGACTATGTAGATTTTTAGCTATTTAGTATTTCAATTCAAATAACTTTTTTTTATTTTGTAAAGCTTATTAAGTTTTATAAAATAAAAAAGGTTTATTTAAGAATAGGGGCAAGTATTTTAAAATTATATATAAACCTAATAATAAATTTTTTTTATATTTAATTTTATAAAAAATTATATTAAGTCTTTTTGATTCTAATTATAGTAAAATTATTAAAATAGGTTAAAAATTTTTTGATATAAATTTTTAAAGATTAGAATATAAAATTATAA